CTTTCCACATACAGTGAGAGTTAACTATCAGGGCCCCGGGGCCCTTTCCACATACAGTGAGAGTTAACTACCAGGGCCCCGGGGCCATTTCCGTATACAACGAGAGTTAACTATCAGGACCCTGTGGCCCCTTCCACACAGAGGTACAGTTAACTTTACTGCCTTTTTCAAGTGAAAGTCTAGGATCACTGTGCCAGTGGGAATTTGTGGACTGTGCACTCATCCTTCCCGTATGATGCTAGGTGTTTTTTTTTATGTTGTTTGCATCCTTGAGTTCTCTCTGTTCATCCCAGCTGTATCTGGGTGCTAATCTGACACCCCCCTCCCCCCCAAACACAGTTCCTGTCATGACCTCAGAAGTTACCAGTGCTGTGGAGATCGCAGCTCTTGGATGGCATGCGCCCCTAAGACTGGCCAGGGCAGCTTCACAGTGTCTTTGCTGGCTCGTCCAGCTGTCTGTCCTCGCACAGCTTTGAGGGCTTTCTGCCCGTGCATTTTGCATTCCATCTCAATCTTCTGTCTTTTCGCAAACTGTGTCTGGACTAGTGACAGGTGTCACTCGCACGTTACATGTTTACTTATTTAGGATGTGAGAATGGAATGCTAATAAACTTGCATTTTCTGGGAAGTGGAACGAGAGAGGAGGGTTTCCTTGGGTCTACAGGCAGTAATTCAGTTGAGTGTGTGTAACTACCATGGTTGATTTAATGTGCCAGACCATGTTTATGTTTCAAAACTTTTGTTGTTGTATGGATGTGGTATGAGGTAAGTGATATATTTGCCAGTTTAAATCAAGTATATCACTGAAAACCTGTCAAGATGATCTTAAGTAACACAAGTCTGTGACAATGCCTGTTTTTGGTTTGTGTGGCCAGGAGCATGACAGCAGGGTGCGATTTGGGACGTCAGTCTGCAATCATTTCATCTAAAATTTAGCTCTGTGCTTACTGTTGGAAGGGAATATGTCAAATGACAGCAACACATTTTTTAAACTGCTTTTTTCTTGGCATTTAATGCACCAGTGATAAATAAATAAATAACTGTTATGCTAATTTCAAATCTGTTTGTCAGTGGAGGCCAATATTCAGCTTGGCATGAGTCAAGTCTTGATTGTGATTCCTGCACTGTGTTCAGTGGCAGATGGTGGAATATATCCAGGTTGTACTTAAGATGGGAAAGTTCCATGCTTTTTCAAATCTGTCTACTCATTTCAGCAACTGGGCATTTTTACAAAATCCACAATCTTTGAGTATAAAGTAACAATGTCAAGGGAATTAAAAACTACTTAGGATGCTTATTTTTTATCTACGATGAGCAGTATTAAGAATTAGATGATTATTGTGGTGTGGTCCAATGTTTTTATTCGAAAAACAAGCAGCATACACACAAGAAATTTGTGCTTAATTTTTTGGGGGTTCACGTACAATGATCAGCATACCCAAAATGCCCCACAAAACTCTTGATATGTCACCGCTTGTGACAATCATAACCACTAATTTCCAATATAGAATTGGTTGGTTGAAACTTTGGCAGGTCTAGCAGAGTAAGAACAAGTTGTAATGGGAGACATGCATTGTTACAAAGATTTGAGTGAATAAATTTACTACCAAAAAACCCATAGTTTTTACGAACTTCACTCCAACTTCTGGCTTTGTGGGCAAAGAACTATAGGCAAGAACATGGAGCATAAATAGCCAAAACATCAGCACAAATTAATATCCAGGGCAGAGGGTATGACAGCAGGATTCAGGAAAAATATGGCTTGGCAAAAAAATGATTGAAATGAAAAGTGAAAAGTGTAACATGGGAAATATATATATAGCTGGCAACTGGAAACAAATGTGGTATTTAGTTCTGTTCCAACCCCGACTCAAGGAGCAGTGGAGCTTGTTGGAATCGTTATCTTTCCTCTGCCTTATTCCTAGTCAGTTATGTGCAAGTTCAAGAAAATTACTTAATTTGCATGGCCTCACTTATGGCACTGCAAGTATCACGTGACTCACTTGGTACATTTTCTTTAAATGAAAGGGCATCATGGTTCCTGGTTTTATAAGAATTCCTGTCATCAGAAAATCAGAATGAATCCTCACACATCACATGATGTAAATCCATTACTAAGATGAAGTATTGGCTCTAGCTGCTCGTCAGAAGTATTTGCTGGTGTAAGTAATTTTGCTATAGCTGCTCATTTGTCCTGGATAGATGTGAGATGTTATTGGTGTTAATATATAAATCATATGTTTATGTATCTGATCAGCCAGTAACAAAAAAAACTATTCAAGAAGCAGATCTAAAGCAAATACACATTCTCCAAAAAAATAACTGCAACAATGTAACTTTTGCTATGCTAAACACAGGAGAATGCATGCCACCAGGTCTTTAGCGGTTTGCTGCAGGAGTCCAGAAAACTTGCAAGATGACCCTCCAGGAACAGGCCTGTAGGTATCTTAAGGTCAACCTGAGGGACAGTTTCAAGAACCTGTTGGGACTGAGCATCTCCTGCAGAAAGGATAGTCAAAAATGGAAAGAGGTGTTGCAGATTATTCAGTGATAGAAGGCTTGGAAAAACAGACATGTAAACCCTGCTTTTGTTCTAAAGAAAATGATGCAATCATACATGAATGCTCATTAATGTGACCCTCATTCACTCCTCGCCCCATGTTTTGTCCAGGACAGGAAGCTCTGTGCCCACCCCTACCTGGAGATCTACAAGGGCGATCTGATCTACTACATGAGTCCGTTGGCGCGTCAGAGTGACTTCTACGTGCCCGAAGTGCAGGCAGCTGAGAGGAATCCTCAGGACGCTGAAGAGTCTGAGGATGACAGGGGGACAGACATCACCGGTATGACTTTCACTCCTGTTGCTCATACTGCCGCAGCCTCCAGATGTTTATTCCTTAATACTTGTTTCTGTTTCACTTGTCTACCAACACATAAGTATTACTACCAGTAGTTAGTAGTACTGCTTTAATATTTCATTGCAGGCCTTTTAACTGTGAAAGGCTTGAGTCATATTGCACACATTACCCTTCTGTTACTCTTTTCAAAGTAAGAGTCCATGTAGTCGATATTTGAAGGCCTGTAATTGTTCTGTCTCTGTTAACATATCAAGTATTACTGGCAAGAAGCGAAGGGCAACGATCAGCCTCCGGTTATTTTTTAAACTGACTGAGCTTTTGGGTAAGAATAATCCAAAGTTCATGAGCCTGGGGTATTGACTTGTCATGAAATAAATTGTTTGATAAGTTAACTGTGGCTCAGACATTAACTCAGTGACAGGTGAATGGTTCATTGAAGACTGTGTATATTTTTCACTACAATGCTATGGTTAAGCGAGATCTGATGAGGACAGAAAGATTTGACATTGAGAAAATGGGAAATCAGACCCATGAATAAATATTTCCCCTTGGTAGGGGTGGGGCGGTGAGGTGATATATACAGTACAATAAAAACGGAAAAATATAATACTTGTCTGGAGGAAAGGAAAGAGATTTGGTTTTGTCAGAGATGAGACGAGCTGAATGAAGCTTGGCTGCATGTACATTTGGGGTTGGCACCTTTCCCCTGGGTCCACGCCTTCTGGGTGGGTAACTGTCATTTCATTTTATTATTAAATTAACATTATATGAAATACATAAGACAGCTGTTTTCTGTATCTGTCCAGATATTGTTCTTTTATTCCCTTCAGCTGGTGGGAGATTCGCTAAGGTTTATTTGTTAGAAACCTTTCCACCCTGAATACTTTAGTAATTTGCTAGTGTATTTTATATAAAGCAACTAGCAAAGAGGAATTGCCTTCTCAGCTACACTGACACACCGCTCATCTCTCTGTATTCCCTCTCATTCGGTTTTCTCTTTAATCCTCCTACATCCAGCACGTTCAGTCCCCTCTTGGAGAATTAATAAACATGATGGGATTATTAATTCATTGTCTGCCTTAGAGAGATGTTGTTCTAGTCATCCTCTGTGGTTGTTTTAAAAAGTCCAGAAGCAAATATATTTCACATGGAGCAAAGAACGTGCAAGAAAAGCTAGCAGTTTCAGTAGATACCAGTAATTGTTCAATAACAGTTGATTATCTAATTATTTCACAGTCCCTTGTATCTAAGTGAAGTTCAAAAAGACAGAGACCCCACGAACAGCAATGGACAGACTGGACCAAGCTTATTCTTCTGTTGCTTATGCTGTGGTGCAGAAACATATCAGTGCACCGAAAACCAAAATTAGATTTTTTGGCAATAAAGTATGACCCCAAGCTGACCTGCTGTGTACGTGTAATTCTTGGGATTGACCCACACCTTAACCAACTTCCTGTTAGCAAAGCCATGTGGTTTTTGTGGATAACCAGCTTGCAGTTTTGCTTATAAATTTGCAGTTGTGTAACATGCCTATTATGATGAATTAAGTTTAAATCCCAGTTATGGAGTAATGTAGTCCTCCCTACTGTTCACCATTTCCCTTTGCCTCATGGAATTTCTGTGGTCTCGCTCTCCATTTCGACTGGGCTGTCACAGAACGCACCGCTCACTCTGCCACAGGCCACAATCATCTTGCATACAATCGTACAGATGAGCTTCTTGAGTGGCTCTGTGAGCTGTAGGACTTCACAAGAATGTTGCTCTTGTGATCAGCATGTCAGGTTTCTCTTAAGTCTTTCCTTATGGTGAGTGAGCTGCATTGTAGAGACCAAGAGAGAGTGAGTTGTGAAATATGTACAATGTGTAGATGTGTGGAAAGTCTCCAGATTGACATGCAAAAAAACTACAACTCTGTGTTTGTTTCCTTTGTAATTATTTTAAATGATAGTGAGAATAGTTAGACCTCTCTCATAAATCCAAGTCGCAGACATTTGTATGTCTGTGTGACTTGTCACATGACCATTGGTTTTCCTTACTTCCTTATTTTACAGTATGCATGCATCCTTTAGATTCATTTTGGCAGTTTTCTATCACCTACTGCATGGGTTATTATTCTTGGAGATAACTTGTAACTAGACTTTCTTTCCCAATTTTTTATCATCATCTCATACATCCAGGTTATAGCCCTGGATTAAAGCAGACAGGGTTTCAGGACTTTTAGCATTTATTTATCAGTTATTTGGTGAAATGTTTAATTGATATTCTCTGCTACAGTGATATCTCTAGCACTTACATGGTATCTGTTTAAAAAAACTGAGAAGCTAGTACTTTACATAATAAGTTGTAGTACTGATTGCGATAGTCATATGCCCTTAGAATAAAAGTAGAATAATGCAGTTCTGCAATATCAGTAATGAAAAGATTGGTTAGCACTCAAAGTTTTATAATGAGTTACATTTTACAAACAGTTTTGCACATTTACAAAACATTAACCTACATCAACCTGTGAGATAAAATTTACAAAGTGTACATCTGATGACTAGGCTCACTTTAAGAATTTGTTTTCCTTCATCTGTGGAGCAATTAATCATTAGTTGTGATGATCTAACTGTTTTGGGATCACTCACATTGTCCTGTCCAACACGTAGCTCCCATTTATCCTCAGAATTATATTTTGATCACCTTAAACCCTCCTTGAATATTTTTCATGATGAGGGTGATGGGAGAATTGTCTTTTGAGTTATGCCTCATTGGTTTATTAATTCAGAATATTCCCTTTCCAAGTACTGGGGCACACAGTTAGAGATTATGCTGCTAGTTGATTGCATTTATATAATGCAGGTCCACTTTTTCACTGTCGTTTCACCTTATCATATCTTGGTGCTTTATATTGTCTTTTTGCAATTTTGTGCTGAGGGTGTTGAGAGCAGGGAGCTCTAGTGAAATTGCCTCGAATCCGGTGCTCTCTTTTTCGGATTGCAAGTATCTATTAAGACAATCTGAAACAGCGTGAGCTTCCAGTGTAAGCTGCAGTAACATGGTAGTTAGTGGGACCATGTTCCCTTCCAGTTGCTTCACAAGCCAAGTCCACCGTCAGTGTCACTAATCAGGGTAATTATAGTACTTGTTGTAACAGCTGCATTAAAAACACGTTTTATGCTTTCAGCTCACGTTTATCAGGATCTCTGAACCTCCACTTTCGAGCAGTATTTGGGGAATTGCAAGGCAGAAGTGATGTTCACTTTATCTTTACCAACAGAGTAAACCGTTCTGTATGTCCACATCTCTAGCCACAGTTTCATATGAAAAGGGATAACATATTTATTTTCCGCTGCACAATGATCACTATTTATTAAACAAAAAATAGACCTGCACCTTATGTGGGGGGATGTGGGTGTTACTGTGACTAATGTAGACCTATGCAGAATAAAAACTGATGCTGAATTGGCTATAACAAGGTTATTTACTTACAGCTATTTTTAGTGGTTCACTCCGAACTCTCAGCATCCCACTAGCTGTTATAATATTATAGTTATTGTTACTTAGATTGCTGCCAAATAATTTAAAATGATGCTGTACCTGCTACACATTATTGTATGGTTCTTAATAGCGTGTGTGTGCATATACACTCACCTAAAGGATTATTAGGAACACCTGTTCAATTTCTCATTAATGCAATTATCTAATCAACCAATCACATGGCAG